CTTTTACCATTTCAATTAAATAGTTAAAGTAGAAAGATAAGCGAAAACATAACATCCAAACACTAAGTCATTTACAAGTATGAAATGCGGAAACCTAAATTACCACCCCAAGATTTAGTTGTCATAAGTACAAGAGCTTCTAAAATATGATACAAGTCTGAAACTAAATGACAGCCTAGACGTGAGAAATATCATGTCTAAATACTAAAATAAAATGATAACGTCTAAAGACATAGAGGGAGGTGTGGGCCACAAAACAACCAAGTAGCTCACCACAACTCCAAGATAATTCAAAACTCGGCTCTGAAAGCTCCACGAAATGCACTCGAAATTGAAATTCTATCTGCACCACAAAAAGGTGCAGCAAGTGTAGTATGAGTACGAAACCATGTGTACCCAATATATCTCATAGACTGACAACGAAGAAGTAGTGACAGGAGTATATAAGAAAATAATTCTTTAATTTTACAATTCCACAATATATTTATCAACAAAAGTTTCATCAATATGGACAATCAAATTTCACGTAATGTCCAACCACCAAATAAACACATAATCAACAAGAATGAAGGATGTAATGAGATGCTATGCAATATGACATCATGAAATGATATGCCTCAGATGCCAAGTACTCTCTCAACTGTATATACATGATACTGCTCGAAAATACATCGAGAGTTCATGACCCATGGGGGACTCGCGAGGTCCATATACCGATACGGACGATGTCCACGTGTCTATGCGGACGTTCTCAATGCACTATTATAAAATCAAATAATCCCCAGCATGGACGATCTCCACGTGTTAGACCTTTACTCATACTCAATCTCATGTCAATGCATGTGCACGATATGATATCAACAAAAAGGGGATGATGCAACATCTCAATAAATCAAATGTCGCTATGACATATAATCACCTCAATTATCACAATTATACGGGTTCAATAAAGAAACAGAACCATACAAAGGAAATGGAGTCACTAAATACATCAGCTAATGCCCATATGCTTTGGCATTCTTGAATTACAATCTATCATATTATAGTAATAAATTTTTCCTTTAATAACACTGTTACTCGTACCAATGCCCGTCACACCATTGGTACGAGACCCTCATCTTTCGCCCTTACCAATTGTCTATTCCATTTTTAATCTTTAATTAGGAAAATGTCCTTCAACGAAGTCTAAAAGTCTTAACATACGTTGAATGCCGAACACGTGTCACGAATCCTCAAGATTTTGCCTTTCCCTTTCGTAAAACTTCATAATGTTCTCAATCTATCAAATATACATTATTCGTAAGTAAACAAATTTGTAGACACTCATAGTGCTATATCTCTAGCCTAGACCCAACACTCATCTCAATCTACAATTAAATTCATAATTATTGCTGCCAACTAATATGCCAAGTCTCATATTCTTAAATTTTTAAGTCTAGGATTAAGTCTTAATTCCTCTAAATATCATAAATTTAATTGTATTCATATAATACGATACAATTAATAATTAATTACATATCTCAATATTAAAAACTAAATTTATGATATGAAACAAATAATAATGTTTGAAACTAGAGCTACTAATTTTGAAACCAAAGGCGACAACCATTAAACCCAAAATTGTTGACCACCGAATTTAAAACAATTGTGCATCAACGTAACAATTACACCAAAATTTCTTCTTAAGGGCTTAACCTAAAATGTTCATATCCTTCCAAATTATTAAGAAATCATTAATTTCCTATTATGTTGCCATTATTGAGTAGCTACTCGATATTTGCAGAAAAAGACACAATTCCAATTGTTTCTACTCCACTAATATAATATTAACATTATTCGATAACCTATCTCTAGTAGTTAATGAGTAAAGAAAATGTGCTCCCTCAAATCTTCCCACCCTAAAAGAAGTGACACCACACAGTGGCTGATTATTACCCCCTCCGTCCCATTTTATGTGGCACTTTTGAATTTCGAGATTCAAACAAGTCTAATTTTGATCGTAAAGTTTTCATAAATCTTTTAAACATTTTGAATCATCAATTATTGTGACTTATAATACTTTTTATGTAGTTTACAAATATATAAATTTTATTCCAAAAAAATTGAAGATTCCATGAGCAAATTCCTGGTTAAACTTAAACTGTTTGACTCTCGAAAAACGAAAAATGCCACATAAATTGGGACAGAGGGAGTATTAGTGGACAAGGGTAATAGTGTTAATTAATTTCCTACACCAACAAATATAAAAAGACAACATTGACAGAGATGTATTAAACCACGTATTCCTCTTGCCGTTCGTGATTTGACGCCGCAGAGGATTGTGAGTTTCCGTCGATTAAGACGAGAGGGAGTTGCTCGGATGGTAGGCACCCCTCACTTTCAATCCGAAGATTGCGAGTTCGAGTCACCAAGGAAGCAAAAGGGGTGGGAGCTCCTAGGGACGGTAAAAAAAAAAAAGTTTCCATCGATTAATTTTACATCTCATTTAACTCTAATTTTAATTTATACATGGGCCAAGGGCTTAGGATATTAAGTAAATTACAGACTTGGCCCATTAACCATCAATTAAATTGTATATTTAGAATTTATTTGTGAACTAAATAATCGTAGTTAAATGAATAGTTTAAAATTACCAATTTAAATTTACGGAAAAATTAAAATAGTTCTAATTCTCAAAACGACCTAGCGGGTCGTTACATTTTGTCTAAAGTTTTAACATGAATATTTCAAACTTCAAATATTTCTATTTAAAATTGTGTATGACAATTAAAATTTTAAATAATTTTATCTGAATCTATGGCGTTTTGATAATACCATAGTTTTGGATTTCTATGGTTCCAATTGCTCATAACATGGTTTAAAAAACAATGTAATCATTTCATTCGACTTATTAAATATGGGTTGGATAACTAATTATTTAAAATGGATTAAATATGAATATTGTCCATGCTATCTACTAAAATATGGATATTTAGACAGAAAATATAAATATACATATTGTCAACACTCATTTTTCTTTTGCTTGTTTTTTTTTTGTTTGTTTTTTAATAATTCCTTGCTTTCTGGATTATGAAAGTTTAAGCTTATTTTTATTTTTATCTTATGTTTTTACTTAATTATTTCTGAAATCATAAATAACATAAATATTGATCAATTAATTAAATTTTTATATGTTAAATAAGAACAAATTAAATATTTTATTTATTTTCATTTAATCTGATTTCGACTTCTTATATCAGTCTCAATTTACATGTTGTCCCCTCCTAGTTAGAATATTTACATATTTTTATGTCCATGTATGATCATAATTAACAAAGTTACGACTTCAATTACCATTTTATTTGCAAAAAGTATAGCAACACTTAACTAGTCCTTTCTATAGTGATGGATAACTAATAGTTGACACTAGATGTATAAAGACATCATTATTAAGTAAGGACACTTAATTAATTTTACATGAACTTAGTGCTAGCTTGTCCGATCAAGGTTTTAAAAAGTCAAAAATATTTATTTTAAAAAAAAAGCGAAAATATTTGATCAAGTTTTTTTTTTTAAAAAAACAATTTATAAGAGTAGCAAAAGTTGTTTTTTTTTTTAAAAAAAAAAAATTAAAAATAAGTTTTTCCCAAAAAGATCATTTTAAAAAGCACTTTTAATTATAAATTTGACCAAACACTAATTATTATTTAATCAGTGCCTTTTAAATTGATTAGTTGCTTATCACCAAAAGTACATATTTTTGAAACATCCTTTTTGAGAAAAGTATTTTTTAAAATAAATAAATTTTAATCAACACTTGCTATATATATATATATATATATTTATTGTAAACGCATAGATGCGTTATTATTAGTGCTTCTACAAAATCTAAATGCCATTATAAGTTGGCAATTTTTTTTATATGTAAAGTGCAAATACAAAACAATGATACATGCTCTTGATCTTGACTATTTCATAGTCTACCATGACTAAACCCATAGTTTAGTAGGAACCTATTTCATAATAATTGAGATGAAATTCTATATACTTAGTGTGTATTTTTCAAAGATCATTTTTCAGTTTGTACTTTCCTCTTCCAAATGAACCATACTTGTTTTTCTAAATGTTTTGAGCCAGTTTTTTTAATTTTACAAGAAAAAATAATAATATTGTCATTATCAATTGTTTGGCCCTCTTGCTATATAAAGAGCTAATTCTTCCACCAATGTTGCGAAAACAACAAACTAGTTTAGTTACAATATGGGAACATCATCAAAGTTGGGGCAATGGCCCCTTCTTGTTTATGCTTTTGCCTTTTGCTTGATAGCCATTAGTGTTGCAGCTGATTATAAGCCTCACATTGATGATTCATCATCTTTGTCATACCCTTATAGGCCACGAACGCCTCCGCCATCTCCTCCACGACGTTATTACTATTATAAATCTCCCCCGCCTCCTCCTCCATGACGTCGTTACTACTATAAATTGCCTCCACCGCCTCCTCCACGACGTCGTTACAATTATAAATCGCCTCCGCCACCTCCTCCACGACGTCATCACTATTATAAATCACCTCCACCACCGCCTCCGCGACATCATCACTATTATAAATCACCTCCACCACCGCCTCCGCGACGTCATCACTATTATAAATCACCATCACCACCTCCTCCACATTATTACAAATCTCCACCACCGCCTTCTCCACCTCCCGCGCCAAATTATTACCATCATCCACCACCACCACCAATCCTTTCTCCTCCTCCAACATATCATTATGAATCTCCACCACCGCCACCTTATTACCATAATCCTCCACCACCGCCTTCTTCATCTCCACCGCCACCTTATTACCATAATCCTCCACCACCACTTGATTACCATAATCCACCACCACCACCAATCCATTCTCCTCCTCCACTATATCATTACGAATCTCCACCACCGTCTTCTCTATCTCCACCGCCACCTTATTACCATAATCCTCCACCACCGCCTTCTTCATCTCCACCGCCACCTTATTACCATAATCCTCCACCACCACCAATCCATTCTCCTCCTCCACCACCACCTCCATCTCCATTACCATCACCCCCATTGACTACACCTGTCGATGAACCATCTCCATCTCCATTTCCATCACCACCATTGATTGTACCTACCGATGGACCACCTCCATCTCCGTTGCCATCACCACCATTGATTGCACCTACCGATAGACCATCTCCATTGCCATCACCACCATTGATTAAACCTACCGATGGACTATCTCCACCTCCATCTCCATTGCCATCACCACCATTAATTGCACCTACCGATGGACCATCTCCATCTCCATCTCTGCTACCATCACCACCATTGATTGCACCTACCGATGGACCATCTCCATCTCCATTGCCATCACCACCATTAATTGAACCTACCGATGGACCATCTCCATCTCCATCTCTGTTTCCATCACCACCATCGATTGAACCTACCGATGGACCATCTCCATCTCCGTTGCCATTACCACCATTGATTTCACCTACCGATAGACCATCTCCATCTCCATCTCCGTTGCCATCACCACCATTAACTACACCTTTCGATGAACCATCTCCAACTCCATCTCTGTTGCCATCACCACCATTGATTGCACCTATCAATGGACCATCTCCATCTCCATCTCCATTTCCATCACCACCATTAATTGCACCTACTGATGGACCATCTCCATCTCCATTGCCATCACCATCATTGATTGCACCTACCGATGGACCATCTCCATCTCCATCACCACCATTGACTACACCTATCGATGGACCATCTCCATCTCCATCCTTATCTCCACCTATATATCCGTCTCCATCTCCATCACCTCTAATAAGGACCCCTATTCCTCCACTTACACCTCCGCCTCCACCATGCTATAATAAATATCCTCCCCCGCCATCTTTATTCCCTTTTCCACTACCATATCCCTTTATTCGACCTCCACCTCTACCATTTAATAATTGTAATGCTCCTCCACCACCTTCTCCATCTCCACCACCTCCAGTTAATTCCCCACCCCCTCCATCACCATCTCTATCTCCACCTCCACCTCCACCACCTTCTCCATCTCCACCACCTCCTCCATCGCCATCTCCACCTCCACCTTCTCCATCCCCACCACCTCCTCCATCGTCATCTCCACCTCCACCACCTCCTCCATTTCCACCACCTCCAGTTAAGTCTTCACCTCCACCACCTTCTCCATCCCCACCACCTCCTCCATCGCCATCTCCACCTCCACCCCCACCTCCACCTCCGCCTTGCAATAATAAATCTCCTCCCCCACCATCTTTATTCCCTTTTCCAATACTATTTCCCTGGTTGCGAACTCCACCTCCGCCACCTAATTGTACTCCTCCACCACCTTTAATAAACTCCCCCCCTCCTCCATCGCCATCTCCACCTCCACCACCTTCTCCATCTCCACCACATCCAGTTAAGTCTCCACCTCCTCCATTGCCATCTCCACATCCACCACCTTCTCCATCTCCACCACCTCAAATTTAAGTCCTCGCCTCCTCCATCGCCATCTCCTCTACCTCTAGTTAAGTCCCCGCCTCCCCCATCGCCATCTCCACCTCCACCTCCACCTCCACCACCTTCTCCATCTCCACCACCTCCAGTTAAGCCCCCACCTCCCCCATCACCATCTCCACATCCACCACCTTCTCCATCTCCCCCACCTCCAATTAAGTCCTCGCCTCCTCCATCGCCATCTCCACCACCTCCCATTAAGTCCCCGCCTCCTCCATCGCCATCTCCACCTCCACCACCTTCTCCATCTCCACCACCTCCAGTTAAGTCTCCGCCTCCTCCATCGCCATCTCCTCCTCCACCACCTTCTCCATCTCCATCACATCTAGTTAAGTCTCCGCCTCCTCCATCGCCGTCTCCGCCTCCACCACATTCTCCATCTCCATCACCTCCGGTTAAATTTCCGCCTCCTCCATTTCAAATAATTATTCCACCATTGTCACAACTACCTCCACTCCGATTTCCGAAATCCCTATTTCCCATTGGTCGGCAACTCTAGTACTACAACCCACCTCCACTACCATTGAAATCTCATGGTAAACATTAAACATCTATACCTCCTCCTAAAACACGTTTGACTTAACAATAATTGCATGATATTGCATCTTGTCTCGTTTGAACTTTTTAATCAGTTGGTGTTTCTCTTTTGAGAGATTTGTTTATTGAGATTGTAATGCTTTTTCTTACGGATTTAGTGTAATATTCTAAATAAAAAGGATTCAAATGAAATTCGACTTCAGTTCTGTTTATTTTGCAATCATAGTATTCTCTACTTTCTATTTGATTGAACACTATATGACTAGACTAGTATGTTAATCTGAGTTGTTCATTTATCAGTAATAGGGTAACATACTTTCAACCTATAGTTGAAAAGTTATTTTGAAAAAACTATATGTTATATTATTCTTTTAATTCAAATATCTTCTAAATATTTCACCCAAAGATTACCCTCTATCTATTAATATTATTGTTATTATTATAAATTAGTAATGTTTCCAGAAAATGGAAAAGTACACGTACATTTCAAACTATAAACCTTTAGAATGTTATATCATAAAATTTCATTGGTAAAAGGGATTCAACAGTTTTGACATAGGAAAACTTATAAGTTTCTTTTTTAATTAAAGTTAATCCTACACTTCATACTAGCATGTCGTTACAGGGCTTTGTCATTGACTCCTACCTTAAATATTATCATTCAAAATAAAAAATACACATAGGAGGAGGACTACGACTTTGCCTCCCCATCGCTAGAGAGCATAGGCTCATCTTATCAGGTGTGTAGGATATATACAAACCTAACAACTAACACGGGACGATGACTCTTCCTATTTACATTTTGTCATATCCAACATAAATAAGGGAGACTCTCCTCTTACACTAATTTATAAAGGAACTAAGGTACATCAAAAGATTAAAAAATGTAATTAGATATAATTTTCCTTCAACACTTTCTTTCAATTGTGGTGAATAGGCATCCCTTATTTTTCTACTATTTTTCTGATTATTCATTTCTGGCTTTGCCAAAGACCCACTACTTTATTTGCCTCTCTTAGGAAGTGAGTAGCTTTGAGATTAACTTGTTTAATCTTTTGTTGAACCTTCACTACCACAAATAAAGGTATAGAGTCAATCAACTAATTTTCGTTATATTATATTTAGTGTCAATAATAAAGATGAATATTTATAACCAATACTTTATATAAATGCCGCTAAAGGCTTTATTCCATCACTTAGCTTGTGGTTGTGGTTCTTGCGTCTGATGGTTCTTGATTGTCCTCTGATTGCCAATGGCTCTTCAAAATTCCACAAATGTTGTGTTTCCTCATCATTTAGATACATTGAAAGAATTTCTTTACCCCACTGCACGTATTCAGAACATGTTCCTATAGACGCATTAAGCAGTAGAGAAATAAAATTAACAAGACACAAATTTATCATGAAAAACTATTTGCTCAAGGGAGTAAAAAATTATGACCTACACTGCGTAGGATTTCAACCACAAATTTCCACTAGCTTCTCAAGAGCAACGTTTTAGATTACAACTCAACTATCTAACCTAAGGGACTAACTCTAGTACTTCAACTAAACAATTGCTCTAACCATTATAACTACTCTCCAAGAAATAAAACTCGCTTTTTCTTACAAACCTCACCCACACAACTACTCACTTCGATCTAGAAATTATTACAAGTCAATAATAACCCTAGAACAACTCAATAAAGACTAATAACCTAGCATTAACTGCCCAAACAGCACACAAAATGACTCATCAATTTACTTCAACTAGTGAACTCAAAAAAAATAATAACTCTAGTCTTTAACTAATCAAACTTTAATATTCTATAGTATAGACTCGAACACAACTCGTGAAGCAGGTTTCAGTATTGCTATGACGAAGTCCTGTAGTTTTTTTCCTATGACTATCGCTCTCAAGATAATGAATTTTGTGGATATGTAATAAGTGCGGCTCTCAATGGCCTTCATATTATATATATATATATATATATATATATATATATATGTGTGTGTGTGTGTGTGTGTGTGTGTTGAAGATTCGCTATGCCCTATGTAGTATATCAATGACTAGGAGTTTTACTTCAAATAGGACTTGACTTCCTATAAGGAAATTTTGGATTTCCTTCCTTAAAAAGAAGTTTCATTTTATAAGGAAACTTTGACTCCTCTTTGGATTTGTGCTCTTTATTTCTTTCCCCTTTTGGTCCTTTATTTGAGCTATTTATTTCACTTTTTTGTTTGCTCTTTTATTTATGCAATTTATTTATTTTCTTTTGTTGCAAACTTTTATATTTGTACAAGCTCTCTGTTTCGCGTCTTGGGGACCTAGTTTTTGATTCACTTGGTAAGTATGCATCAGACAAAAAGTAGTAAATCAGGTTCACTTTGTCAATCATCAAAACTACATACATATTGTCCTATTTTTCAACATTTTTTCCCCTTTTTTATGATGACAAACAATGCACAATTATGTCATTCATGCCACATATCATCGTGCACCACTGATACGCCCAAATTACACCTCCCTAAAGAAGTATACGTGGTCGTTGTCAAATAAAGAACCTAACATAGGTTAGGGTCGATCCCACGAGGAATATGGTCTAGACTTAGGCCCATTTACTATTAATTGTACTTTTAGCTAGATTATTTCCATAAAAAGGGGAGTTTTGTAACACAAAAAAATGATTGATTAATGTTCGTAACAAGTAACCAAGTAACATGATTCGCAGTTTGTAAGATCAATATGAGATGAAACTAGGATATATATGTTTCCCACAAGTTCTTAACGCAGTAAACCTTTATAATAGTAACTCTTTCCTAGTGTTTGACATGCAAAGTCGGTAAGATAGGTATCTCCTAAGTGATTAGTCATCCAAGTAGGGAATTTCACCATGCAACTTGGTCGGTCTACGGGTGTATGTTTTACTAACCCTTACCCTTGACCCCAAATTAGCCCTCACATATTTGGGTTAGGCTATTAGATAGCGGATTATCAACACTAAATATACGTTGTTTTATCTCTTTTCCCATTCATTACTTCCTTTGTCGGTCAAGTAGGAATAAGGCGAGTTCTAATGTTGCACTATTAAAAAACATTCAAAACGAAGAGATCAACAATTCATGCATAAACACTTTTCAAGAATTACTTAATTATTAGGTATACTTTGTTAATTACTCATGGTTCCCACAACCCCAGTTGTGGATTTGGCTACTCATGCTTGGGTGATCAAAATTCATAATATAGTTAATAGAATAAATCATGAACTTACAATTAGGGTTGATGAAGTCTGAAATCTTGAATTGATGAACAAAAGCAAATTTTATAAACCAACACTTTAATAATTAAATGCTAAAAATGTATGCAAGATAATTCTCAAAGCCAAAACAAAAGGTCTCAAATCGTCTAACAACCCGAAAATGAAATATTACAACTAATATTTATAGACATCAAATCCTAAACATAGTAGGAAAAGAAACCTAAGGAAATTTGGTTTTGGGCAGTGGTCGCTACAGTTCAATCCTATGGCCCGTAGGATGTTTTACAGTTTGTAGAAATCGTCCATTAAAAATAGCAGCTTCAACTTTCTTTTGGAATTTTCTACGATTCATGTTCTACAACCTGTAGAACTTAGTACGAACCGTCATGTCATCTCGTCAACCAAGTATTGGAGCTCAACTTCTCTGAACCTTTCTACGACTCATGTGTACAACTCGTAGAAGGGACTACGGCTCATTAGTACCTTCCATCGTTTTACACTTAGCTACATAAATTAACTCTTCAAAATCACGGCTCATTCATACGGATCGTAGACTATCCTACGGCTCGTAGGTCGAGTCTTCAAATACCAAATCCACAGTACATCAACACCCTTAAGACGCACGCAAAACTCCAAGTTTAAAGCATTAAAAGTACCTTAAATCCACAGTACATCAACACCCTCAAATTAAAATCATCGCTTGTCCTTAAGTGACACAAAAAATTCAAAACGACATTATTTATTCTAAATGACACTATGCAGAAGCAGCTCAAAAACTCAAGCTATGTTCAGCACAATGCAATTATTCTGTTAAAAATCAACATTCCTTTATAAATGTTCAACACATTGCAACTATTATGTTCAACAACAAATCAACATATGTGGATTAATATATAACATAGATGTACCAATAGTGACATTTACACAAACAGATAATAATCACTATGATACAAACTCTTCAATAATGTAACTTGTGCCCTCGCCGCAAAGAAATCCCTTTGTTCACACAGAATTTGAATTATACTTCCATTTTAGGGACTCAATATATGCTCACACTCATAATCAAATTCAACACAATACATGCACAATACCATAGGCCTGCCCTTATTTTCTACATTTCAATTTTCAAACCGTTAGATTAGGATCACTATAGGACTTTCTTAGCTTGTACATATGCTCGGGGTCAGGTATGGTATATTTAGAATTTAAGTGACTTATCTGCCCTCCTTGATATTACATTGGCTATTTTCCTCTTATAAAACCAATCGTGACATCATCTTACTTTTTGCCTTTCTTCGTATTATTTATTGAAGCTCGGGTGTGCTTTGACTTGATTTTCTTACTTGATTCAACTTTTCTTCATTTTATTTTCATTTGAGCTTTTCATTCTTTTATCGTTATATTTAGTCACACCATCTCAGGTATTTTTCTTCTTTTCTCTACACACAATTCTTTTCATACCCCTTTCTTTCCTTATTTTCCTCCATAATAGCCACCCTCAACTTAGGTTTTCAGCATGAGTTGAGGTGCACAATGTCCCGGGAAGGACCAGTGCCAATACAAAGGTTAACAACTCTGAAGTAGCCACCCTCAACTTAGGTTTTTAGCCTGAGTTGAGGTACACAATGTCCAAGAATTGACCAGGGCCAAAGCAAAATTTAACAATTTACTCGGGGAAGGTGAATTGAAATAATAGTCTTCTTTAGGCTCAATGATTTGGATC